TGTGGAAATTTTACTTGTGCGTTGGTTGACAAGTCAAGATCAGAAGTCAAACTTCGCACTTTAATGCGTATGAGAGTCGGAAGTGCTTAGAAGTAACTCAGATTGAAAACATGCCAACAGCGACCAGAAGCTGACAAGACCCTTCCAAGGACTGTTTATTAATAGCGGCTACCTGGCATTTGTCGTTGACAGTTTATCGACAAATTGAATGCGTTGTGCGGGGACTGTGGTCTTCTCTTTTAATCAGTGGTACTGAAGATTTGTACATGCACTTTACTTATTCTGAGAACTGCTGGTGCTAACAGTGGTGCCAGCAGCACTAGACTTTATCGCTGTCACTGCAACAGCTATAATTATAGTAACTGTCGTTGTTGTTGCAGACTATTGCTGCTTTTGATGTACAGTAATTGTGGTAGTGCTAGTTCTTTTCGTGCCCTCATCCCTCATCGTTGTTCTTGCCCCAATCTCCCTTTCTTTTCCTTCCCTCATTTCTCCCATACTCCTCCTCGGTTACGCCACTGCTTGCGTTGCCACTGACTAATATTTCTAAACTTTATACTTTTAAAACTTAACTAAGCTATGTTCAACCTCAGGCATCGAATTTGTCATTGCTTCGGTCAGGAAGACAGGAAAAGATGCCGTGTGAGAGAAAGAAGACTAATTTAAGATACAGGAGTCTCTTCCTTGCTCGACCAAATCAAAAAGATTCTCCGAGAGATGTTTATCTCAAAGTACTGTCTGTAATGATGTCCTCGTGGAAGGCAATCCTTGAATTCCAGTTTATTCATCTTTTACTGGTACAAGACTTCATGGTTTCTAACCATCTTGCTTCGCTGTAAAAATGAGCTTTTAAAATTTAAACGGCGGTCAAATCAAACGTCAGAATTTCGACAGCTCTTTGCTTGTTAAACTTCTAGCAAAGCCGCGTCCCAAAGACTAACTCCGAAAGATATTCGTATTTTGAATCGAATATGACGCCGATTAATAGTGTTCTGAACTGAATTTTGCGAACTGCACGACCTTGATGGTAACTGCAAAGTCCACCCGTGCTAGAAATGTGGCGAGGGTTTATAGTCCACCAGGTATCTGAGGTGGGTCAGCAAAATTCGGTGTTCAGGACCAGCTGAACTGAGAAATTGAGATCTGCAGGCTGCAAACATACACTCGCACATTACTTGTCCAATTTCCTGCGAGATTTAAAATCAGAGTTTGCAGTCATGCACACCGGAGTAGTGTAGGACCAAGTAGGGTGTAAAATTTGGTTTATGAAAACGGTCCTGAGATGACAGAATTCGAGATCAGGCTGTTGACGGGAAATCCGTGAGTGTGCCGGTTGAAAGTGCAAGAAATGGATCTGTGAAGCTGTCTTTACAAAAAACTCGTGAAAATCTCGCAGTACTCTCTTTTAAGCTGCCGTTCTTCTGGTATGCTTCTGTTGCCTCGGGATTGGAAATCAGTCGCTACGGTCACTTACTCACTGCGCGTACCGCTCGGCAAATACGGTCTCCACTGTACGAATTTCTGCATTAATCTGGCTCTCACTGTTGGTGCCTTGTCTCTGAATCGGAAGACGGGTGAAGAAAAGGGGAGGGAGATAGAGCGCGAAGCAAGTTGATGCATACTGTAGCGCATAGCTGCAGGCGCCGTATGTGTTTGTCTTGTGCTCAGCGTTTTCTGGAACTATTTGCGCCTGGCGCGCGAAAGTGCTGTCGTCAGCTGTTATCGGATGGGCTTGTTTGTTTATTTTCGCATACGTAATAATGATGATTCGGATGTAAGCTTTCGCCGCTTGTTAATTAATGATTTATTAACTGAACCAATCGATTGAGAGTGATGTTGGCACGCCGGTGACGACGACGACGGTTTTTGTTGGTGGTTTACAAAACCGAAACGCCGGAAAATATTGTTGTGCGTCCGTAACGATGATGATCGTCTCATTTTACCTGTTTTCTAGTGTACGCCACATCGTTACACACGCTATCACCGGTACGGGCGACAACAGCAGCAACAGCAGCGGTAGCAGCAGCGACAGCAGTAGTAGTGGTAGTAGTAGCAGCAGTAACAGTAGCAGAAGCTGGAATCGGAGGCATCATCGTCGTCAGGAGCGATTCCGGCATCAGTCGCGTCGTTGATCATCTGCACCGTCATCATCGCCATCATCATCATCATCATCGTCAACGTCATTACCGGCGGTAGCATCACTTGCGAAGGAGCAGCATCATTACATTTTGGGGGTTTCTTCAAATTCCGCAAATTGTTAATTGTTGGTGGCTTGGGTGTCGTCGTTGTAGGTGTGCCGTGTGTACCAGCCTGACTTTGCACCCCTGTTCTTATCGAGCGGTTGTAAAAAGGAGCGCACTCCGCTCCGCATCGTCAGCGTCGGGAACAAGCAGAAGAAGCAAGTAAAGAAGGAGAAGAGAAGGTACAGCAAGCACTTTAAAATTCATTAAATTCTTTTGTCCTCCTTTTGCCAATAATTCTTATATTTTCCTGCTTTTGGCCTTACCTACCTTCTGGCCCTACCGGTTCGAGTGTAAGCGACCCGCTCTTTAGATAGGGACGGGTCTACGGGCTATTCCAGCGGCACCAACCTTATAGAAGTAAGCGACAATTATTACAAAATTATGCAACCAGTACTTTTTTGCTACTAATTACAGTAACACAATGACTTACTTCGCATCTTGTCTAAACATAAAATCGCAGGACTCAGTCTTGTTACTGCGGCGCATTTGCAAAAGGAGGAGGCAACATGAGCACTACATGTCGTTATTAAAGCACTAACTGGATAAAAAGATTGCTCAATATAATCCGTTTTTACCAAAATTCACTGACGGTGTTGCATTTTTGCGACTCTCTCTTTTCTCTCCGTTTCCCTCCACTACTACTATCACCAGTAAGCAAAAAAAAAAAAAAAAAATCACACAAGCTAAAACTCTCTACACTGATCTTCTACTCCAGACGTGCACCGTGAAGGAAAATTTGCTGCTTGTTTGTTTTTCCGCTTTATCCTCTTTTTTTTTCAGATTGCGAGCTGTCTGACTGAACAAAGAATTTGCCCCAAAAGCTTCACATTCTCTTACTCCTTTTCTACGTACTGTCCCGGTTCCCGCCTGCGTTGTCCTTCCGGTACGCAGCACTGGCATCATGGAGAAGGTAAATAACAACATCACCACCATTAGCACCAACAGTAACAACAGTCAAAACAACGGCAATAGTAATAACGGTGCAACAGCAAATGGCAACAACGGTAACAGCAATACAACTGAGAAGTCGAGTAATCAGTCAGATCAATTATCCGGCGGCTGGGAACGAGTTTCGGAAGAACTTTCTGATTCTCAGGTACACTTTTCCCCACCTTTGCTATGCAAATTATTTTTTATGAAAAAATTTCATCGGCTTTTTGAAATTTTATAGAAACTCTTTATCACAAAATTTAATCAAATGCATAAAAAGCGAATAGCACAATTATCAGCACAAATTCTCGATTGTTTTATAGATGCATTCGAAAGATTAACATTTTTCCCGGGAAAATTTTCTTTAAGCGTGGAATTTCGCACTGGCATTGTAAAAGCAACGTTACAGCCGTTGGTTTTTTTAGCAGAGTAAGGATTTAGTAAGAACCATATGGTTTTCACACATTGGTTTTCAAAACACTTTTGAAAAATTTAACTTTTTCAAAACTAAATTTATTTTTGGCGTCATTGCATTTAATTTTAGTGAAAGTTGCGCAGTCAGAAAAAAGGTAAAAGGGCTGCTGCCTCTTTCCTCCTTTTCCAGAAAGCTTATAATATTTCTGTGTGTTTCCCATAAAATCACCGATGTTTCAAAACCCTGTTTCATAAGGAGTACGGTTTGTATTCTTTATTCTATGCGTAATTTTTTGTTATAACATCGTTAAATAATTTAATAACCAAAAAGGTATTTGATAGTCTGATTTCTCAAAAAATCACTTAAAGTTTTCCTCATAAAAAAAAGTGCAGATTGCTCATTTCATTTGTTTTTTTTCCTGCGAAAGATAGGAAAAATCCATAAATTTATATATTCGAATTCGTTCACTTATCTAA